CCAGGAAAATGGGCCAGGATAGGGGGGAGGGGGGAACGAGAAGATAGACAGAGTGTGAGTGGAACAATTAGACATATAAGGAAATAGATGTAGGGAATATGAAGTATATATATGTTATAGTTTTATATAGTCTATATAGTTACTAAATGTGGTATATTGTTTAATGTTGTTTATATTGTTTTATAATGTTTTATATTGTTAATACTAATAGCTAATATTATATTAGGGCATAATTAGAATTAAGTACATTGTAAAGGGGAACGAACATGTAGGGGGGGCCTTCCGGGTAAACACCCTAAAAGGGTATACCTGAAATAAACTTCTTATCTTATCTAGTTTTATTAAAAAATTAATTCAAATATTTTTAACAAATAATATTAAAAAATATTGTAATATTGTAATTTATTAGGTATTTATATAATTTAATATAATATAATAAGTTATATATATATATATAATATTTATTATAAATTATATTATATATATTTATATATTATTATTATATATAAGTAATGTATAAATAATATATAAAATATATTATATATATATAAAATATATATGTTAATAAATTATATATTATAAATTAAATTCTATATATGATTTAAAAATCAAATAGTAATAATAATAATTATTATAATAGTAATAATAATAAAAATAAAATTAGAAATTAAATTTTTTTAATTGTACAATTAGATTATCACAATTAACTATCACTGTAAAGTTCATTCAATATTTTTTTATTAAATATATATATATATATATATTTATTTATAACCAATAAATAAATGATTTAGAAATCTAGATAATATTAATAATAATAAAATAAAATAAGAAATTATAATTTTTGTAATTGTACAATTTTTATTTTACATTTTGACGCATTGGGAGAAATTCATTTAATCATTTTGTAAATTTTATCTGTGTATGGTTAATCATTCACTATCGCGAAATTATCAGTAGTATTTTTTCTCAAAAATACAATTAGCAAGTACGATGTTCACGTTTCTTTCCATTGACGCATGAAACTTTACAATGATTTTTTTCCGTGAAGAAAAAATCATTGTATAGTTTACACAGTGATAGTACTACGTAAAATTTCTTCTCACTAGTCATTCCTATGACCATAATAATAATCCTTGTCAATCGTTTAGTGGAACTAACGTAATTGGATTGATTAAATTCATTGAAGAAAATGATTTTTGAATGAATCATTTCAATTTTTCTATCTTTTTTCAATTTTTTAATCTTTGTATCTCATAATCTTATATTATTTATTGATAAGTTATTAATTGAATTATACTGCTTTGGTATTATTTCAATCTTTTTTTAAATTATATATGCAACAAAATTGCAATTCATTTAACCATGTTTTGAATTATTTTTTGTTGTATTTTTTTTTTAAATTATATATATATATATATATATAATAATATAATATTTTAATATTATATTAATATTAAAATATTTTAATATAATATTAATATTGTATAATTGAATTATATATTTAATTATATTATATAATTTAATATAATATTAATATTATAATATTATAATATTAAAATATTATATTATTAATTAATAATAAATTATATTAATAAATACTAATAATAAAACAAAATTAAAATTTATTTAACTTATTTTGAATTATTTTTTGTTTGTTTGTTTTTTTTTTTAAATTATATATATATAAAAAAAAAACTGAAATTGAAATTAATTTAACCTTGTTTTGAATTATCTTTACTTTTTATTTCTTTTTTTTAAATTATTTATGAAACTAAATTGAAATTCATTTAACCTTCTTTAAATTAATTTATGTTTCGTTTTCTTTTATTGTTTAGTTAATTTTATAATTAAATAACATTCTTAACGTTTTAATACGTGCATAAATGTGTGTGTATGTATGTATGATTGGAAGCATGCAAAAAATACATATGTACCTACTGAAATACAATAATTATTTACATGCGTAAATACCTCCGTTCCCGTATTGCTTGTTGTGATATTTGTGAAATGCATTGGGCCCGAAAATTCTCATAATGTACATCTTGAGTTACGTCCTTAAGATCTTGCATATGCGTCGATATCAGCATTGTACGAAGTTTCACAAAGTCGCTGTGCTTTGGATTCTCGACTATGATCAAAATTTATACTCCGTTCAAGAATATAATCCCATTCGATACATTTTTCTTTTTTTTATTCTTTTTTTTTTTTTTTAATTTAGATAACTGAAAATAGCTGTTTAGTATTTTTTCTTATTTGGTTTATGATTTTTTAAAGATGAAAATCTACTGATGATATTTACAATATTATTTTGATGTCTTATTCAATTATTTGACACTGGGTATATTAATATATACCCAGGGGTTAACCCCAAAGGGTTAATACCCTTTGCACTCCGCTATCTCACCGTATGAGACTCCGTGATTCTAGCCTATCACTCCGATGTCTCGACTTATGAGACATTAAAGTTTATTAGTGATTACGGGGAATTAAGTTATTTCAGCACAATTTTTTGAGACTTGCATGTTTCCCTGATGTTTTCTCTTAAAATAGCACAAGAAATCGAATCAAAATATAGTAAAATAATAAAGATATATACAAAAAAGTGTCAGCGGGTTTTGTGTTGGAAGAGAATGTGAGAGATACATGCTCACAATGGTCCGAGAACTTTTTGACGAAATTTGAGAAGAGTGATAAGAAGAATTTGTAACAGAAAGATTTTTATAAGAGCATATCTCACATTTTATAGTAAGATTTATAATGTACAAAGAAATATTATCAAATAGTATCACATTTTTAAATACAATGGAACGCGCTCGCTTTTTTCCAATTGCAACGCTATTACACCCATTCATTTTCTTTGTAAATAAGTTTTCTTTTAGTAAAAGTTCTTTAGGTAAATATGTTCCTTGATGTCTACAGATTAATATAAGTCCAATATTATTAGAATCCGTTACTTGGTTCCAAAGTTATACTAAATAATACGAGGAATCTGTAAATATGTGCCGTTTCTGGTCGCGCACAGTTGCTGCTACCCAGCGTCAAAAGTCGTGCGGAGTGCAAAGGGTTAATAATAATAATAATTAATATAATATATATTATTAATAATAAATTATAATATATACATATATAATTAATATAATATCATTAATTATATATGTATTATTATAATAAATTATAACATATACATTATATACATCATTAAATTATTATAATAAATGTATATTAATATATATTATATTAAATATATTTGACACTGGGTATATATATATATATATATATATATATATTAATATACTATACTCTATATATTAATATACTATATACTCTATATATTAATATACTAATATACTCTATAAATAATATACTATATTCTATATATTAATATACTAATAAGTACTATTTCTTAATACATATACACATTAGTATATATATGTATATATATTATTACATATATATATATTAGTATATTATGTATTAAAAAATAGTACTTATTAGTTATATTAATATATATAATATAGTATATTATTTATATAAATATATAATTGGAAATATTTAATATTATATTTTTTTTTTTGATGAGGCGGCGGGGGGATTTGAACTCGCGAACCTAAGATTACTGGATGGACATTACTGGATGGTGTTTTTTGCCTCACTGAGCCATGCGAACCTCTATATTCATTTATATTATATTTCTAATACATATATAATTAATATTATTATTAATTATATGTATAATATTTGTAATAATGAATATAATTAATTAATTACTTATTAAATATTTATAAATAATTAATTATACTATTAATTTATTATGTATTAGTAATATAATATAAATAATTATGATATATAAAAAATAACATTAAATATGTCCAATTATATATATATATATATATATAAATATTTAATATATTATATTAAAATATTATTAATTAAATTTAATTAATAACAATTAAATTACTTAAACCATAGAAATAAAAATATGATCATTAAAATATTAATCTAATGATTATAAATAATTAATCAAACTCATTTGTGATATCTTCTAATCTAAATAAAACAAAACAAAAATTATAAATTAAATCAATATATACATGTGCATGTATATTCCATTAAAAAAATGAGATAATAAAAAAACAAAGAAACAGAATGAAAAAAAAAAAAGTAACATCACACTGATCATTATAATACACGTGATCATTTTCACTTACATTACTTCATTGACGTCACACACACATACTCACACACATATATATATATATATATAATATACCTGCTTTATTATATAAAAGTACGTTAAAGTATTATGTAAACGATTTAATAAACTGGTTAATAACACATCTAATTAAAAAAAAGAAAAGAAAAGAAAAAGAAGGAAAAAGGAAAGAAATAAAAAAGAAAATATTTCGTTGATAAATTAAAATAGTTCACCTTCTACTACTCCCCATGGATATTGTCGACCATGAACCTTTCTTCCTGCAACTTCCAATACAGTTGAACTACCAACAACAGCAAATGGTATACACGCTTTTAATTCTTTATCCTGTTGTTTGAATTCTTCATCCTCGTCGCTATCACAATCAGGAAATTGATATATCTATATGTTAAATAATAAATGATTAAATTGTTTCCTATCTTTTTTTCTATTTTTTCTTTTTTTTCATCTTTTTAAAACACGTTCCCTGTCATGCTGCTTATGAGGAAATGCAAAGTGTACTTTGATCATTTTTTATACAAAGTGTAAACTGTTTTTGATACATGCTTTTAATTAGTTTTATAATTTTACTATAAATATCTAGTTCTTTTTACGTTTATTTTCTTCTCTTTCAAAGAATATATATATATATATATATATATATATATATATATATATATATATATATATATATATNATATACATTATAATATAATATAGAATATATAACATTAATATATTGTACAATATACACCTTTACATTATAATGTATAATATATAACTGTATAATATGTTCTATATTAAAATATATTTATAATATAAAATTGTATACTGTATAATATATATATATATATATCTAATTGTATATAATATACAAAATATATGATACATTATAATACAATAAAATAATTATATACAATATATACTTTTGCATTATAATGTATGATATGTAATATATATAATACATTATAATATATAATATAAAATATAATATATACAGTAAATCTTTTAAATTTGTATTCATTCGTAGAATTACTTTATTATTCTTTTCTCATTTATTTAATATTACTTTATTCTTACCTCTTCGTCCTTTTGCAAAAGTAATCTGTCCGTTTCTGATATATTGTTCTCAAAATGTGGTCCCGAATCTCTTTTCAATTTACTGTTAAAATAGAAATAAATTAATGTAACACACAAAATATATATATATAAATCCATATTTATATTCAACAACACAACATTAGTTTAAATAAAATTATTATTCGTGCATGTATATGAATTCGCAATTTATTTATTTATTTATTTATTGCTGATTCTAACATACCGAATAAATTAAAAAAAAAAAAAAAAAAAAAAAAAAACAATAAAAAGAAAACGATAAAACCACGTGTAATTAAGTTTGTAAGATTTATCATCAGTGTGCAATGCAATCAGATATAACATTTCAATTAATCTTTCTCAAACTACTCATTGTTTTATCTGACAATATTATGAGAATACTATCTTACATTATGTTTATGACATATTAAATTATGCTGATATTATCTTAACAAGATATAATCTGAATTACACATCGATGACTGTAAAGAAGTTATTATTAGTTGCTGATACAATCAAATGTTAAAGAATTTAAAAAAAAAAATAGAAAATAAACATGATCGTACCTTAAGAATTTTTTTCTTATCAAAGAAAGATTATATTATGTGTCATAAGTCTCAAACAAATTATTTTACATTTGTATTTTATAATTTGATTTTTTGATTATTTTTATTTTGTTTTGTTTTGTTTGGTTTGTTTGTTTCATTTATTGTAAATCAATAAAGATTGATTTCTTTGATTTATATCAAAATAATGCGAAATCATACAATGAAGCTATTGATAAAGTAAATATAGAACTAACACACACATATACATACATAAACACACATAACTTGTATATACAGTATATATATATATATATATATATATATACAGTCGTATAAGACGTTAATTATGTTATCTGAGAAAACATTGTATAGTAGAAGTTAGTTAAATATAAACTCAAACAAAAAATTACAATGCACTCTGTTGTATAATTTAAATATTACTTCAAGTATTTTTTTTTATTAAAAAAAAAAAAAAAATCAGATAAGAAGAAAAAGATTCTCTTTCACAATTGAAGAAAGTATAAATATGTATTTAATTTAATATTTGTCAAAGAACAAGAAGAAGATGAAGAAGATGAAGAAAATGAAGAAGAAAAAGAAGAAGAAGATCAAAATGTATTTATTGAAAGAGAAATATTGTCTTAAGTTGTTTAAAATTGATTTCAAGGTTTTTTCATATCTCTCTATCATTATTTCAATATACGATACATTAGATTACGTGATCATATTCGATTATATTGCACTAATGTCCATCTTCTCTCGTTATCCTTCAATGAATTTAATTAGATCCATTGGAAATATAAAATAAAAAAAAAAAAAAATAAAAGGAAATAAAAAAGTCAAGACAAAAAAAAAGATTAATGATTATATAATATGATTTAAAAATCAAATAATAATAATAATAGTAATAATATGGCAAGAAAAAAATTAGAAATTTAATTGATATGCAATTAGTATGACTAAAATGAACACATATGAATAATCATTCTTTTTTATTTATTTTGCAATTTGTATATCACATTTTTTATCTTTGATAAGTTCAATTTATATTTTTTTTTTTTTATTAAAATTATTTTAAAATAATAATTAGTTTTATTGGATAGATAGAGGGAGTTCGGTCGAGGTGGACGCGTGTTTAGTGTGGTCGTGGCTTTTTTTGGGTTTTTGGTAAAAATATCAGGTGGAAGGGAAAACAATCTATCAAGGAAGGAAAAGGAGGTGCAGTGACATTGGGGAAATAAGAGATTGCAAGGATAGTGGGTAGGAAGAGCCATAAAGGGCACGCGAAAGTGAGTGAATTGAAAAGGGAGGTTAAGGAAAGCTGCAATATGAGCGAGATAGAAGATGTGGAGAGGGGAGACACGAGCGCCAACAGAGAGTTGCGGCGGGAGAAGGAAGATGGATCGGAACTGGAGGCATTTACCGGCAGGAGGAAGAGGGGACGACCGCCAGGCGCTCCCAACAAGAAAAGAAAAGGGAAGTCACCAATCAGCAGCCTGGAAAAGTTCCTAGCAGCGAGCGGGACGGAAAGGAAGGATGAGGGACTAGGAGAGGATGATCCTGATGGTGAGCTGGAGGAAATAAATGAAAACGATGTGTTCCTCYCAAGAAGCAAAGTAATGAGATCACCAGAGAACAAAAWGAGAGAGGAAAGGGGAGAAGGTGAACGGCAAGGAATTAGAGGGGACGGGAAAGCAGCAGGGGAARCGCTGATGGGCTGGGAAGGGATTGTGGGWGAAGTGGTAGGGGTTGGGACGGCGTGCGATGGAGTGAGGGAAATARCGGTGGGGAATGGGTTTACGGGAGCCGAGGGGGGGACGGCAAACGAGGAAGGGGAGTTGGGACGGCCAGAGACGCAAACACAAAGGGGGGAGCGTCGAGGCACGGAAAAGGGAGTAGAGATGGYGATACAGAGATGGAAGGAAGAGTTGGAGGTGTCGTGGAGAGAGATGATACAAAAGGAACTAAGAACTATGGTAAAAGAGGTGAAAGAAGTGATAGAAAAAAACGAGAAAAGGAAAGAAAAGATGGAGGAAGAACTGGAAACAATGCAGGCTAGGTGGTGGGAAGAGCAAGCTAAGTGGGAAGAGCAGTGCAGAATTAGAGATCAGAGGATTAGCATATTGGAAAGTAGGATTAAGGCACTGCAAAATGAATTAATGGCAGAAAGATTGAGCAAAAGTGGGAATGAACAGGGAAGAGGGAATGGTAAAGGGAAGGGAGAAAGGGAGGTAGACGAGAATGAGAATTTAGGGGGAGAGACGGACAGGAACAAAAACGGAAAGATCGAGGGCGAAGGGGTTAGGGGTAATTTGAGTATGGTTAGCGACACGGAGTTGGCGTGTTCGCCACCGGGGGGTAAGGAACGCACGAGAAGGGGGGAAGGAACGAAGGGGRTGCAAAGAAGGCGCAGAGAAGAACAGCTGGTGCACCCAGACAGATTGAGTAGGGGTGAATGGGAAAGAGAAAAAGAGGAAAGACGAAGGAGAAAGACAAACATCATGATACAAGGAATAGGACGAGCAGAGAGACTCWCGGCGTACGGAATTGAAACGATGATCCACCGTCAGGTAGGAATAAGACCGATCGTCAGGAAGTGGATATGGACGGAAGATGGTTTAGTGGCGACCTTGGGAGGGGGGAGAGACAAGGCAGCTGTAATGAAAAGGAACTACAGGAGAGGGGGGGGAATACTGAATATCACGGACGATTGGACCTGTAGGGAGAGACAGGTCCAATGTTGGATCGAAAGGATAGCGGAAGAAAGAAGAAAAGGGGGGGAGAGGGTACGAGCGGGATACCAGAAAATTGAAATAAATGGACAATGGTACTGGTGGAATGAGCTGAAGGGAGACTGGGAGGAGGAGTGTGGAAGGGTGAACGNTTCAATATAATTAGAAATATATTTCACTTCAATATTTATTATATTTGGATGTAATTAATCCAATAATAAATATACTTATTATATAATATATATATATATATATATATAATATAATAATATATATTGGATTTAAGATAAGTATAATAGCTCAGTAGATAGGAGTGGACCAGTGGATAGTGACAATTAACTCACGAATCAAAGATCGAAGGATCGAATCCCACCAGTCTTGGAAAAAAAATGCAAATTAATTTTAAGTGTATATAATAGTTAATATATTGTTATAAAATATTTATAATTTTTTAAATTAAATTAATAATATTTTAATTAAATTAATAATATTTAATTTAAATATTATAAATATTTTAAAATATATAATTAATATATGTAAATTTTAATATAAATATATACTATATATAAAAGTATATATTATAAATATAATAAAAAATATTTTATATATAATATATAAAAATTAACTATTATACTATATTTAATAAAAAAAATTATTATTATATATTGGATTTAATAATCAATAATATAATATAAATAAATATATATTTAATATAATATTCAGTAAAATATATATTATTATATAATAAATATAATAATCTTTTAATATAATTAAAAATACAGCTTACTTGACAATATTTAATATATTTGGATTTAATTAATTCAATAATTTATAATTAATTTTCATATATATATATATATATGAAAAATATTTAGTTCAATAATATATATATATATATAAATATAATATTTAGTTAAATATTTAATATATATTATTTTATATAATAAATATAATAATCTTTTTCAGAAAAAATATATTTTTTTTTGTATATAAAAATTCAGTGTTACAATGTTTGTCTTCTTATAACTCAGAAATTACTTAATCTATCTTAATGAAATTTTTGTTAATTTTTGTATGATTTTTTCCAACTTAAAATAGAGAATAGTTTTTATTGCAATTCTTTTTATATTTTATTTAGAATTTAAGAATTTAAGAATTTATTATCTAGAGGTTAGGTAAGTCTATAGATTCTGTAAGTTTTCTATAGATGTTGCTGTATTACAATTCAATTATTTTAATTTATTCCAAGTTAAACAATCACTATTATAATTTACATATAATTAATTACAAGACTCAAAAATTCATTTAAACATTATTACTTTAAATAAAACAGTGTTATCAACAATTACTTTTTTAGATGTTTGAATACATTTCAAATTTAAAAATTCATTTTATTATTGGAGAGTACAACAAATGCATTTTAATGTGTCCTAAGTACAAACACATGACAGGGAACGTGTTATAAAACAAATGTTAGTTTATAAAAAAGAAAAAAGAAAAATGAGACTAATGAGATCAGATTTACCTGAATTTCGTGTTCCTCAATATCCGCTAGAATTCGTTCCTTCAATTTTTTAACTTCCTGGGTTGTTAATGTATCAGCTTTAGCAATAACAGGAACAACGTTAACTTTTCTATGTAATCGTCGTAATACTTCGAGATCTAATTGTCTTAAACTGAGAACAATTTTCTTATTAATTATCAACATTAATAAAAAATAAAATAAAATAAATTCAAATGGTATTATTAATTGAAAAAGTTATCACAAGTTAATCAAGTTAATATTTTTATAAATTATCCATAATAGTATGGTGCTTACCCATGACCGTATGGTGGTATAAAATATAAACAACAATGTACCCTATTATCTTGAATATTTTTCCTATTTAATCCACTTTCGTCTGTGAAATATTGACGAAATTGTTCATCGATGTATGACAAACATGGTTTCCATGTATCCTCGCAATTTACTGCATCACCAAAACCTTGAAAATTTTATTTTTCAATTTAAAATATTATTTAATAATAATAATAATAATAATAATATATAATTTAAAATTAATATTAAACTAAAATAACTAAATATATTATTTAAACAAAAAGAAAAAAAACCAAAATTATAATCAATAAATAAATAGTACACAATAATTTATAACCCTTTGATATATATATACGTGTTTATTAATATTAATAAAAAATAATTCAATGTTTAATTAATAATTTTAATGTATTATTATATTATAATATAATAATTATATATATAGTATATTATTATATTATTATTTTTATGTATTATTTTATATATCTTTTTATATATAATTCTTCTGTGCGTGTGTTTGTTCCCGAACTCCTCCTAAACGGCTGAACCGATTTTAATGAAATTTAGTGTGTATCTTCAGGTGAATTCGAGAATGGTTTAGATTTACAATTTGGTCCAATTTAAATAATATAAATAACATATATTATAATAAAATTAATAATTACATTGTGATATTAATGTAATTAATTTTTTAAAATAATTTATTATTAAAATCTGATTAATATTAATAAACTATTCCGTGTCAATACAAAATTACTTCAACTAAAAGTATTCAACACTCAAAGGGTTAAATAATATAATAAAATTATAATTTATAATTTATAATTAATTAATTAATTAATTTACCTGGTGTATCAACAATCGTTAAACGTAATCTAACACCACGTTCTTCAATATCCATCGTTTTTTTCTCAATAGTCGTAGTTTTATCGATTCGTTCTATAAAAACAAAATACAATAATTAATACAATGTAATATAATTAAATAATAAACTATTTAATTATTATTAATAATAAAAAGTATTCGAATATATTAATATGTTTGAATAATAAAAGTTCATACGTTCGATTAAAAACATGTACGTACAAACCTGATGCATCTGGTATACGTCGTTCTTTATACAAATCACCAAGAAAAAGACTATTAATAAGGGTTGATTTTCCAAGACCAGTTTCACCCAATACCATTAAAGTAAATTCAAATCCTCTTTTAACTGATTTTCTATGCACTTGTTCGGGTAATGTTGCAAAACCGATGTAATCCCTGTCTTGTTATTAATGTAACAAAAAAATATTATTTTTATATTAATATTTTAAATAATTTATTAATAAATGTTATTATTATTTTTTTTGATGTCAATAAAATTCAATATATATATATATATATACAGAACCGACAGACAGACAAAATAAATGTATAGTGTGGGATAAAATTATTGCTATAGAATAATTATATGAAAATTATGTTAATTGTTAATTGCATATAATATTGTTTGTAATTTAATTATTAATTGTAATATAATATTAATATAAATTAAATATATAATATTACATGTATAATATAATAATATTATATTATATTAAAATATAATATAATATAATTATAGCATATAGTATAACTATGTACATTAATATAATAAATATATTATATTAATATTATAATATATTATAATTATATTATTTAATACATATTAATTAATATAATATATTATAGTTATATTATATATTTAATATATATTATAATAATAATACTTAATATATATTAATTAATATAATATATTATAATTATATTATATAATATATTATTTAATATATTATATATTAATATAATATAATAATATACATATAACATATTATAATTATATTATAATATAATAATATATTAATATAATAAACAAAATATAAATCTTTGAATATTAGATATTAACAACAGTTATAATAAATAATATAAATTAACAATAACTAATTATATTATTTTATAATTTACAAGACTTCATATATTTGTTTAATTGTAAAATTTCACTGACATGAGATATAAATATATCTACATAGTTAAATAATTATTAATAAATATAATTAATAATATTTCATATATACAAAATGTTTCTCTTAATAAATCATTTTACTTAATTTGTTTAACATAAATAATATTAATTGTAAATTTTTAATAATATCTTATATCAATCATGATAATATAAATATAATATTATAATTATACTATTAATGTGTTAGTATATATGTAACACATGAAAACATATATATATATATATATATATATATATATTTATGTTACATTCTATTACAATGAATAATATTAAAAAATACAAATAACTTTTCAGTTCAAATACTTACGAATATACTTTTATCCCATCACTATATAATATATATCATTAAATAAATAAATTAATAAAAAAAAAAACAAAATTAAAAATACACTCACATTATTCCTTTTTAAGTAGAATTATTAATAATATCTTCTAAATAATTTTTCCCAAACTTTGTATTACAGTTTTAATAAACTTTGATCATCGATTAAATTATCACGACAATATAAACAAAGATCAATTTATCAAAAAATAATTCAATCTTGAATAATAATAATTTAATACAATATATAATGATTGTAATATTCAAATAGAAAATGATCCAATTTATTATTATTATCAATTAATGTATCAACACACACACACATAAACACACATCCACATCCCCACACACACACACACTATGTAAATGTCATGTATGATGATGTTACTTGTACGTATCACAAAAACAATAACAATAACAACGCGTTTAAAATAATATTATACATATATATGTATAGTGTATAATATTTATTATAATATAAGTAAACTGTCAACTGTATAAAATTGATTTGAAATCTGTTCTATGCGTCCTGTTACGAGAATGTCCGTTGTTGACTGGTTCTTCTTCTTCTTCCACCGTCTGCGCTGACGCAAACTATTCTGCCAACGATCAATAATCAGTACTCTTATATTTTGTTCTAAATCCTCCCTCTTTTTCTCTTTCTCTCTTTCTCCCTCTTACTTTCTATCTATCTCTCTCTCTCTCTCTCTCTCTCTCTCTCTCTATCTCTCTCTCTCTCTCTGTTTTTCTATGATCAATAGAAAATATATGTAATAGATAATCAAAAGTTCGAAGTACCATTTATGATTAATTATTGATCATCGATTATTCGTAAATGTATTTTCAACTTTTGACTAACATAATATATAATATTGTACATAATAATCTCCCCAAA